TGAAGGACTTGGAACAGCATCTAGTGTGGCTGAGAAGGCCAATTCGAGAGTGACAATCCCTTTCACACTAAAGACAAATGTCCCCTCTCCAGCTCCCTGATTTTGCTGCTTTCGGGACTGCCTCTTTGCCTTGGCCTGCTGGACAACCTTCTCTTCAAATTGCAAGAGGCCGTGATGCAGCAGGCTGAACGCTCAGATGTCAAGGTTTTCCATCTGTTGAGGTCCATTCCTAGGGCCTTCAGATCCTGCTTGCAGATATCCTTGAATCACAGCTGTGGTCTCCCTTCATCTTTCTAATTGCATATAATTCAACCATGATATATTCTTATTCTGAAGGATTTGTTTTATTTGATCTTTCAATCTCATTTTATACAACCAGTCTTTCAATTTAATCACTTTTTTCTTTAAATAATTCCGCATAAACTTTCATACTGACAGGAAAATTCTCTGTTTCAGTCACTAATCCTATCTTCTATCTTAGGCATCCTTCAGTCTTGAGAGATTATGGTAACATACTCTGTATGGAGGACTTGGAACAGGACTTCATACATTGTCCAAGAAACAAAATATGAAGCAGACAGTTATGTCTGATAAAGCATCTATTTCGCTGTTCTGATAAAACACCAGTTTCGCAGGAAGCAAGTCAGTGAATCTCTCCAAACCAATTCATCATCCACCACAGCCTTGTCAGTGAGCAGGAGCCGAACGGGGCACAGAACGGAAAGGAAGAGGGACTCCTGCCATACGGGACTTCTTCTCCGATGCACACCACAAACTCCTTGCTATTTTTTAACAATTTATTGTCATTTTAAGTATATACTGTACATAGTATACACATACAACGAAATTGACACAGACACCCAGAGACCAGACCCACACATAAAGAATCCCCAAACACTCCTCACCCACCAAAAATCTCCCACTAGGGAGACAAACATCTGACCGCAGGCTAAGTAACACTGTCCAACTGTTCACTGCTGGTGGTCTTTAAGTTCATAATTAAGGGCAATTATAGCTCTGGGATAAAAATTATTCAGAAAACGTGTGGTCGGAGTCTCAATTGTTCTGTATCTTCTGCCAGACGGCAACTATCCCAAAGCAGCAGCCATTGCAGGTGTACCTTCTGTTTAGTTTTTGCTAAAGATAAGTTTTACCTGTTACTATTTCTCTTAATATTATTTCTTTCCTCTTCAGGCAGCTCTTTAATTAGTCATTTATCTCAGAAATGCTGGTTTCTGACTTACAGATTTATAAATGCTTTTGATTTTTTTATACTTCATTGTTTAATCTTGATCTATGTTTAATGGTTTCTTAGAAGTTTTATTTATGTAATGTTTTTACATTTGTTGTTTTATCTGTTGTGAGCTGCCTTAGGTCCCCAATGGGGGGATAAGGTGGCATATAAATTATTTAAATGAATAAATAAATACCATAATTTGCCGTGAGTGCTATCCTTTTAGGTGAAAGGTGGCGGTCTAAATGTGATTTATGAATAAAAATAACACCCACATTCATTTCATAAAACTTAAGAGTTTCTCTGCCCTCCTACTGTTATTAATTAAAACAAATATTTTGCGCAGTCTTTCTCTCTTTCCCTTTCATTGTATCCCACCTTTCTCTGCAATCTGGGACTCAAGGCGGCTCAGAGCAGATTTAAAACCGGCACAAAGACAAGAGACAACAATAAAAAAACAGAGATTTTTAAAAGTCCAGCATCTGTCCATTCAAAGTGTCTGTCTTATGTATTGCTGGAAAGATAACTCAAGGGATTTTAGGCCTCTGACTGCGGGGTTCTGGGTTCAGGTTCTTCTTTGACAATCGGCTCGACTCGATTATCCAGAAAGTGATAGTCCTCCAAAGGAGATAGAGCCCTGGAATCCTAGTTCCTAGAGGAGCAGACAGGAAGACAAGAAGCCACTTCCTGTTTCCGCGCCGAAGTTGCGCCCATCTTTTCCTTCCCGGAAGAGCCCCCTCCCCTCTTGAGAGTTCCCGGCGGGACTGGAGGTGCCTTTTAGGGAAGCCGGGAAGCCCCGGGCGGGGAGAAGGAGGGGAGGTCGAGCAGCGGTTGGAGAAGCTGGTTGTGGCGCTTGGCTTGAGGGTGAAAGAGAGGTGAGAGCGTTGGGAGAAGGAGAGGCGGAAGAAGGGGAGACCTGAGCTGGCGGGGAGTCCCCTTTAAGGCCCTTCCTTCCTTCCTTCCTTCCTTCCTTCCTTCCTTCCTTCCTTCCTTCCTTCCTTCCTTCCTTCCTTCCTTCCTTCTCTC